AAAGAGAGTCAAGCGTCAAGCTTGAGGCTTTTGCTTGATTTCTGTTTCAGGATTTGTGTGCATGTGTGTCTGTGTGTTCAGGGTGTTGAGTGTGGTGGGAATGGAAAGGAGACTAATTTCCTCTAAGCCTTGAAGCCAGGCATCAGCAGAGGTTAGGAGTAAATCAATAATGACATTGCCACCAGAACTGCCAATTTTTGGAGGTCAAATAAGAATTTCACAGTATTTTTTTTGCACAATTTTTTCAGGGTTCCACGAGAAGCAGACAGCGAGTTGGATGTGATGCTGTGCTCTCTACAGCTCCTTCCACCACCATTATTACTCCCTGAGCCTCACACTCTGTGTTATCTGAGTTGCTTTTGAGAAGGCATTTCCTCCTTTATCCTCAGTTTTTCATATGAGAATTGTCTCATGTCACAGTACTTTTAATTTCCAAACGGGTTATCTGGGCTGTGTATTGTTAACATGCACTTATGGCCAGACTAACTTGTTAACCAACGGATCACCTCTGCTGGGGACCTGCCTAACTTCAGCAGCTGTGGGGCAGCCCACTTACGAATTCTCTAGGCTGCTGGACATAGTGGTTACGTAACTAGGCTCTGTAGTCCGTGTTGGGTTCATACCCTGGCTTTCCTACTTAAAACTTATGACCGAGGGCAAGTTCATTAGCTTTTCTGTGCTTCTGTTTCCTCATCTCTCAAAGTGGGGCTAAGAGTGTCTTGATAAATTAAATAACACATGCAACAGGCTTAGAGCAGTGACTTAATAAGCGCTCTTCTTGTGTGCAGAGGAGCAGATCATTCTATGATCTATTTTGTGTTGCTGGTGCCTTGGCTTATGTGAAAACCAGATGAGGAGATATCAAATCAAAGAAACAGTTGACCACTTCTAGTCTTGGGTTTCTCTCCGGGCTTTTAATTCTTCTGACACTCCAACTAAAAATATGTGTTCATGGTGTCTTTGGATGTAGGCTTACTAAAAACTAATCCAGTCTCAAACTTTTCAAGAATTTAGCAACTCAGTCTTGTAAACTTTTTAAAGGGGTGGTCTGAACGGGTTGATCCAGAACAACCAAGCCCCTCCCTGAGCACCTCATAAATTGCTCTTCTACTGGGCTGGCTACACTGGGAAATCATCGCTGGCAAAGAAATGAAAGAAACATCCCTGCTTGGTATCTCTGTTTCTCCAGTGTTCTGTGTTTGCTGATACTTTTCCATGGTAACTTACTGAAGCATGAAGCAATTAGTTTCTTTAATTCAGTTTATCTTTTTCCTAGTGATGGATATTACTGATATCATACATGGAAAGGTGGATGATGAAGAAAAGCAGCATTTTATTCCCTTTCAGCAGTAAGTACTTTGGCATTTGTCCCGGGTGACTTGAGACCTGGATTAGCTATTTTCATGGTATGTTAACACAGAATGAGGTGCTAGGAACCATTTTCTCAGTTAGGAAGGAAAAGCTCTTAAGCTAGAAGATTGTCAGGAGCTTGACAGAAACCTATTCAAAGTCCTTTATACTGGACTTTAATATAAGAGGGTAAACTGAGCTTTCTTATTCTACAGAAATGAACAAAGGGATATAAAAATAAAGGGCAAATGTATATCTGCAGTCTCTCTTATGGGACAGGTATCATGGAAAACAAGGAATCCTATTGGATAGCACAGGGCTTTTCAAACTGTGTCATGCATATGGATCACCTGGAGATCTTGTAAGAATACAAAGTTTGATCCAGTAGGTCTGAGGTCTGCATCTCACAAGCTTGCAGGTGATACTGATGCTGCTGGTCCGGGGACCACAATTTGAGAGGGAGGGGTTTAGGAGACAAGAGAGTGAAGGGCTGACTAACCCATGTGTTAGGGTTCCTGTAAGTGGGGGGAAAGCCAGCCTAGTAGTCCATGAAAGGATTCAACATTGTGATTAGCTCTAGCAATCAGGAAGTGCTGGTGTGAACATCATGACTGGTGATTGGCACTAACAGAGTGCAGGTGTGAACATTGTGACTGGCTTTGACTGTTAGCAAGTGCAGGTGTAAACAATGCAACTGGCTCTGGCAGTCAGGGAATGCAGGTGTGAACATTGTGAATAACAGTAGCAGTCAGGAAGTGCAGTTGTTTCCTCTCACCCCCTACACAGGTGGTGGTGGCCTAGGGGAGGCCAGGTACTTTGCCAGAACTGACCTCTACCAGGGGCGTCTGCAAGCCGGAGGTCATTATCTCCACCAACTTGCAGCTGCCACTGTGGATCAATAGACCAAACTGAGAATACCAGAGACC